TTTGTTAAAAAGTAAAAACTTAAAAAAATAATTTTCCTCAAATTTTCCACTTGGCAAGAGTTCATTTTGTACCCTGCTCTCCAGTGACTAGAGATTAGAATAAGTATTGACATCAAGTCTTCTGGTCACTTCATTTTATTTGCTGCTTTGTTCTGCCTTTGGATTTTTTCTGTTGAGAACAGTCTCAGTCAGTCACTTCACATCTGCCACTCAAAACATAAGTGCTTGTGTGTTTGTTGCTGTGCTTGTCTCTCTCTTTCTCTGTCTCTCAAAATTCAAGAAGCTTTATTGGCAGCATAAAAAGGAGTAGTCTCTGTTTCTCTGTTTTGTTCTTTTTTTTCTTCCTTAAATCAGGCTGTATTTTGTTTGATGTCAGTTACAACAAACCCCAGACTCTCTCCACATGAATTTCTAAGGTATGGTATGGAGCGTGTTCACAACAACAGGAATTAGGTCACTGAGAGAAAGAGAGACAGGCTTTGTTCCAAAATCTAGTGTGCTGCCTATCTAGACCATATTTTAAATACTAATAGACACATTTAGCCACATTCTAAGGTAGCATCGCTTGCATATTTCAATGCAAAAAAAAATACAAAATACATACACACACGCACACACACACACACACACACACACACACACACACACACACACACACACACACACACACACGCCCAGTGGAAAAAATATACATGACGTACAAAATTAGATAATTATTATAATTATAGTAAATTATGGAAAAATAAAAAAACCATAAATGAAATCAATCTACTAAATATTGACTATTTTAACTAATATCTCTGTGTGATGTGTTTTATGCTGGAGTATTGCACTTTCTGCATTTTGTCATTTAGAAATGAGAGTATGAATAACCCTGACAACTTTGAAAGTTACGGCATCCCACAGGCCAAACGGACAGTCCTTTTGTTTTTAAGTGTATGTGTGTGTGTGTGTGTGTGCGTTTTTGTGACAAATGAGGACATAAATTTGTATAATTACAAGGGTATGACATAGGTATTACAAGGAGAAGGTGACTTTTCAGGACATTACCCCATGTCCCCACTTTTCAAAACGCTTATAAATCACACAGAATGGAGTGTATTGAAAATCTGAAATAGCACAAAGTTTCCTGTAAGGGGTAGGTTTAGGGGTAGGGTTGGTGTAGGGCAATAGAATATACGGTCTGTACAGTATAAAAACCATTACGCCAATGGGATGTCCCCACTTTTCACAAAAACAAACCTGTGTGTGTGTGTGTGTGTGTGTGTGTGTGTGTGTGTGTGTGTGTGTGCGTACGTGTGTGTATGTACATGTGTGTGTGTGTGTGGGAGTGTATACTAACCTTGGTGGTCTTCACCTTGTTTCCTGTGCTGCAGCTCCAGCCTGTAAGGTCGGGCAGGACTTTACACTCCTCACCATCCAAACACGGCTGCATCTGACACCACCACTTCTGAGCTACTATAGATGCTACACACACATCACAGGAAACATGAACAAGTACACTATGGTTAGTACAAACAGAAACTCTCACTTCCTATAAGTATAGGGGTCATATCATGGAATGGGGGAAAACAAATCAGACAAAATGTTGTGTTGTTGCTGGATGGGTGTAGCACCTACAACTCTGCATATACTTTTGAAGAGGCTAGCCATGAGAAATGTATAGGTCCCAAAACATTTCAGTGCAGATTGTCTTTTCACAATGTAGTGCAGGCTTTGCAAAGAGATATGTTAGCCAATCGTAAAAGAGGTCATAGCAAAAGCAGCCTGTTAATTTAATTTATAGGGTTGGACAAAGGGTGGAAAATTGGCATGAACAACTAAATTCCTAGTGCTGTCGATTTAACTTGTTAATTTAGTGCACGTACTTTTTTTTAAATCATGCTCCGTGACATATGCACTACTAAAGGCAACACGCTTCGCCAAATCATGCTTAACGAGAACATGGCAGTACAGAATAAGCACTTAAAGAGGATGTGTACTTATGTCAAAAACAGCTGGATGGAGCACAACTGAATCCAGGGGTGCATTTTTGAAAGCTGAACTGTTTCAACTTGACATGGCATCCTCTACCGCACGCATTATGATAGACCTATATAAAAAAATATTTGACTCTTTTTCTTTTCTAAGAATGGCTTAACTTGAAGTGCTGTAAAAAAAGTTTTTAGAAAAAAATATAATTTTAAGGTACTTTATGATATGTTGCCATACGGCAACAGCATACAATAGTGGATCTATCTTAGAATAAGTGTAAGCTTACTTATAATTAATATTTTTCCTCAGAAATGTTGTTTGTTGAGGAGCTATTTGAGATGATACAGAGAGAAAGAATGAAGCATGAGATGGGGTGAAACATGGCTTATTTGACATTTCCTCTCACACAGAACGTGTGTAGAGACACTTGAGCTATTTTTTCCTGTCTTTTACAGTCAGGCAAAATAAGATACCGATCGATTTCTCTGTCAAGTGGTCAGTGTTGACACAATATTAAATGAAACAGCCAGACAGCTGAGGGAGACAAAGAGATTATTTGCCTGAATAGAGTTGAAATGAATTGAAGATCCATTTTACCATCCACACAGGAGGGTGCAGCCCTTGTTGTTCCAGCGACTTGTCCAGAACATTTATCTCTGAATGACATTGTAGTCAGCATCTCATTTACACAGGCACACCTGCAGTCAGTCATTTCACCACAGTCTGTTACCGCATGCACATACTTTCCCGCTGTTATGCTAGGTACAGTTTCGTTTTATTTATTTTTGTTTTAGCTGGGTTGTTAATCAATACATTTTAATAAGATTATTTGAATAAATTTATTAAATAATTTAGTAAGTCATTTAATCAATGAATAAATATAGTATAATTTGTCATTTTATTTCAATTTAATGACATTCAAATTTATTACTTTTTTTTTTTGAAGGACATATTTCATTTTGTCATGTTTTCTCAGTGTTTTTAGTATCTTGCACCATGACCAAGATGTTTTTAAGATGTCTTGTAAGTTAAAAGTAGTTTAACTTGTATGGTTGTAGTACACTGAAAAAAAGTTGATGCAGAAACAATTTTCACTCAGAAATTGCTAGTAAATTTCACAGTTCAAATGACAGGTAACACATTGAATTAAACGTCACATTTTGAAGTAGAAAGACTGAAATACTCCAATAATCTTTATTTTATATACAACTTACATTACGAAAAATAATTTTTAACAGTATAAGATCATTTTTTTATTATGGATTTTGCATTCAGGTCAGGGGGCATGATTAATTGCGCAAATTTTTTATTGTGTTATTCTTTATATAGCTAATTGAAATAAATTAAAAAGTTACATTTATAGCCATAATTTCTAGCTATTTTTATAGCAATACTTTAGTCTGTCCAAAGAATCTAGGCCTGTTTTTCTTATGCAGAAAACATACAAGCTTTGCCCAGTATTTTTTGATAACTTTAATTAAAGCTCTGAGGGTCACAGAGATGAAAAGAAGACATAACCAAAAAATTTATAACAGAACCGCCCCGACGGCTACTTGCTAGGCCGTCAAAATGATTGAAAATCTAGCAGAGATCTTCACCTTCTCACTATCTCAATATCACATAAATGAAAAAGTGTTTGAAATTTGTAGACATGCCTTTGAAACGTTAAAACTGAAACGGCAAGACAGAAAAAACACAGAGTTCTATTAGAGAAAAATGCCGATAATAAGTAAAAAAAACCTGTCTGAATTAATTTTTTCAAAGATCGCTCTTGATCTTTCTCAATCCACCAACTTTGTCTGAAGCATTCAAAACAGTTTATTGTGGATCAGTACAGCTTAGTGTGTTTCACCCTACAAACACCAGAGGCTTCAGCTGAAATTTAGTCTGAGCTTTTGAACATGCCCCTTAATGGCTGGAGCGGGTTTTAGCATCAGCCGACATGTTCACAGGGGATACTCTTCTAACTGTTAGGTAGTATAAAGTTTCTGATCCCTGTTTGTGGAGGGAGTTTTAGTACAGAGACCGTTATGTGGACTTGCACATAGATCGATACTGCAGCTTTGGGGCGCTTTTTTTATATCGCCTGAAATAAAACCTCTAAATCTGTGCTGGGTCCTCTATTCCAAATCTCACTTGCTTGTTCCAGATTTATTTGTCATGAAAGCAAGTTGTGCCCTTAGTTTTTGACCTTAGTTTTTAAGAAAAAAAAAAAAGTTTTCTAAAGCCAGCTGTTTGTGCAGTCAGTTTATATGAAGGTTTTGGATATGGACACCATGACATCATAGTTCTGTTGCTGGACTTCCTCTATAACTAATAATGAACATGTAGCATAGACAAGTGCAGAGACATGGAATTGGCATACAAGTAAAGGCCTGTTTGAAACAATAATGACATTTTAAACAAAATATTAGATCTCTATGAACTCTCTTCACATTGAATGTGAAATATTAGATATAATATTTATTATATAAAATAATATTAGAAATATAATATTTTATTCAGTTATTAGGTTTGTTTGTTGGAATGCTGAGCAATTCATTCAGTAAGAGAATTACTGACGGCAAGCTAAATAAATAATTAAATAAATAAATAAATATTTTTGTAATATTATTTTAGATTTCCAGTATTTTTTTAAACATCCATAAAAACAAGATTTAGTTGCAAATTTAGCAAAATGGTTTCAAAGACTATATCTTAAAGTTATATATTTTATTTACCCTATTGAAATGATTTTGCCTTCTTTACCTTAAATAAAGGTAAATAAATCTCAAATAACATTTTTGTATTTACTTTTAAAACAAGAAAAAAAAATACAGTTAGCTTATTTCAAGATATATTGTATAAAATGTAGGATTTTTTTCCTTAAAAGCAAGACAAAAACACTGATTAAATAAATAGAATTTTGCATTGTACAAAAAAATCCGAATTGGACTTGGTGTGAATAGTTTCAGCACAGATTTTTTTCTGTACTTTTGTGTCATTTAATTGCATCAGATCTTGATCGACAGAACATGAGGAACAGGCTAAGCAATGGAACTACTGTGTTGTAAAGGACTAGATGAACCAACCGACATGATCAAATGCTTCAACAGTGTTAGAATGGAATGACCTTTAGCTAGTTGGAAGAGGAAATTCTTGTGAGTGCTGGAATGAAATATCCTTCAGAACAGAGCATGCTTTATGTTGCTTTTGGAATGGCTCTGTCCTTCAGTGGATGGGCAGCTCAGGGTGAAACAGCCAATCAATTCAATCTCCGCACACATTACCTCACATCAAATTAATCCATCCTGACTGGGTCAAAATGGGGGCTGACACTGCTGGTCAGCTCTGTGTGTGTGCGTGTGTGTGTGTGTGTGAAATGTGAAAATGTCAACCGTCCCGAGAGATCAACCTCTCAGCTGAGAAATGATTCTTTCAACCATATTCTTTCTCATCATGCATCTCACTAACTGCAGTGACAGGGTATTTCATTTCTGTGTTCCCAACATGATGGGATTCCACAATATGGCCCCTGAAGATTTGAACGGAGGCATTGTTCTCGCTCTCGAGTAGTTCGAATCAGGGGGTCTGGGAGTGTGTGTTTGTCCTAGGGGAGTTATGTTTCTTTATTCTTTCTTTGTCTTCATTTCTCGCTTTCTCACCTCACACTTTTTCCTTCTTCTCCCTCTCTCATCCCAGATACAAGATCTTTCAATTTTGTATTTGACAGTTTCCTATTTGGCTTTTCTCTCTCTCTCTCTCTCTCTCTCTCTCTATCTATCGCACTCTCTCTCTATCTATCTATCTATCTATCTATCTATCTATCTATCTGTCTGTCTGTCTGTCTGTCTGTCTGTTTGTCCATCTGTCTGTCTATCTCATTTATTTATAGACAGATATTTAATATTTCATTATATGTTCCATAAATATGGAACATTTAAAATGTTTATGTAATAATATTAAATATATTATTTTTTAATATTTGATATTTTTTTCCTCTTTTAGTTTTGAATCTGTTTTACAGTGAGACTGAGATTCTCTCAGTTTCTGTGTGGTTTCCCCTCTGCTTGTTTTAATACCAACTTATCAAACTCCGCTGATTGAAAAGTCAAGATGTAAATATTGTGAGTGTTGGATCCTCTCGGTAGGGTGAATTATATTATTCAGTCATTACAGACAGAAAACCTTCAATTTGTAAGGGAAACATTGCGTAGCTCAGAGGGAGTGCCGCCCAAATCAGCTGTAAATGCCAAATGCAAATACTTGTTATCGGAATGAGAGGGCCATGGCTTTCCTGTATCGTGGGACCACAAGATGACAGGGACACAGGCTTGATGTATCAGAAAACATCAGGATGGAAGGAAAAAAGATTTGTATTCTGCACCTTACCAGCCACAAGAGATGCTGTTAATTGCTCAGTATGTTAATGATATCTTCATGGTGTTTGCCGGATTTACCAAGACAGCTCACTTAGTCTCCAGAAACTCTCTGTCTTGGGCTCTCATGCATCACTGCTCTGGTTTTGAGATCTCTAGGTTTATATCCTTCCCAAAGCTATCATCACAGTGAACCCTTCTAATAACACGGATTTGCATTACTTGCAATTTCTTGATGTACAGACTTATCAGGGTTGGACAAAATTCGGAATACCGACCAACTATTAATCTATTGATTATATGTTTATATTTGAAAAAAAGTTTCATCAGCTGAACAATCAGTTTATTGTTAAACAACAGCACAGTCCATTGAACGCACTTGTACTTCAATCCCTCACAGCCTCGTTTTCATTCCTGTAAAAAATTTTATATGACGCTACCCTGACTGAGCTCTATTAAAGTTAATTTCAAATTTGGGAATTACAATTTAAAAGGCTTTCTTATTTAAATTCTGAATAACTTATCACAACACATTACTGTAATTGCAGGTGGTCATTATGATGATGATGATGGGAAGTTTTTGATATGCCAACACAAAACACACAGATTTCAAGAGCCAGTTTAACTGTATAATTATACAATCCCACACTGATATATCAAACAGTTTCTTGTTTAAAGATCTCAAATGTCTGTAGGGAAACTGACAGTCATTCTGTCTCTGAAGGCACATCCCCTGTGGTGTAGCTTTAAAATCAGCTTTTTAGAAGAAGAGCCGTCAAATGCATAAACATATTCATATACACATTCACAAAGATGAGCTAAATAGTTTTACAAACATGGGCACAGATGCTTTTAGGAGGTTCACACGAAGCCAGCAGAGACAGCATGAAATATACACCAATAATTGACTTAAAAAAAAAAAAAGACACACTGTTTTGAAGTTTTTTTATATTCATAATGAAATGTGTTTGGTTCAGTACACGAATCCAGGTGGAACACACCTGAATCAAGGTCTTTATATTTGAAAATCGTGTGATATTGCAGGGCTGGATCTAAACTCTGGAGGAAGGAAGAACGATCTTCATGAGATTGACAATATCTATAACTCTCTATATCAAATTATATCTCATATCCTACAGAAGAGAGAAAGAGGGAGAAAGGAAGAGGGAATAAAAAAATTATAAGAGATATTCTACTACAGAGAAGTGTAGCGAGACGAGCACAAAGCTATTGTTGAAGTTACTGTGTTATACTAGCAGGTCTTAAGCTTTCATTTCGTTATCGA